AATCTTGCCTTTGAAAGATTCTAACTTGAGCTTCGGAGCTCTTACGCCGGGTTCTCCCCGGAGCTTCTCTTCTCCCTCCGTTTCAGGTCCCTGCCACCCGGTTCAGAGGCAAGATCGTTGACAGCTAAGATCGGCCGAATTGTGCATCATCAGTTAGAATGGGAATCTCATTCCCAAGAGAGGGCAATGCGAGGAAGAAATGGTCATTCCCTCAAATGGGGCAATTCCATTCTAATTCTACTTGACCTAACAGTTGAAATTGGAATAGGGCATTCTGATTCCGATTCTAAATCTCTATTTCCACAAATCAAACAGTCCTTAAAAAAATATTTAGTGTCACGAAAGTACTGTATTTACATTTGATTTAAAAATCGAAAACAAAATAATTTAAATATTATAATTATTTATTGTTATTATGTCACATCAACCAACCTCCCCCCACCCCCTCAATAAATAATGTTCAAATCGCACTTCATACAACTGTGATTTTCACATGACTATATAAGTACAAACACACTTTGCTTCACAACACCATGGTACCAAACACTATCTAAAAAGATTAATTTTGTTTTGATTCTTCCAATGCATTAATTTCAACATCAATTGTAGAAGGTCTTGAGCTTGAATATCATGATTCTAATTTCTAACAACAAAACATTAATTGGGGTAGACTTTGGAAAAGATTTTAGGGGCTTAATTCGGTTGTCTCACCGGCAATTATGTTGATCAATTACGTATGATTTGTAGTTGTTGCCGCCGCTGACTGCTGTCATACATACGAAGTCATGGGTGGAATTTACTTCCACTGATGAGAGAGATGAATATATAAACAAAAATGTCCGCAATCTAATATTGTTTGTTTGTTTGCAATTTGCAGTTTGCGGATGGAATCAACTGTTGAGTTGCAGAGAGATTTAATGGACCGACCAATGGACCCAATTGAATGAAACTCTTAGTGTGTAATGGGATTCGGGAGTTGTATGGGTCAAGTAAAGTGAAATGATATTAATTGTTGTTGTCAAACTTAATTGTCTTAGTGGGAATGGAAATGGAAAGATGAATGCACGAAAAACTTATGAATAAAGTTTTCCCATCCTCAATCGATATCTATCGTTCTATGTTTAGCGTTTTTGACCCATTGACTCGAATAGGTATATGGGGTTAACACGGAGAGCGACCACCCATTGGTCTTTACTCTTTACGATTGTCAACAGTCGACACCATCCATCACCAATTCAAATCTGTACACTTGGACTTATTGGAATGGAAAGTGCAAGGAATTCCCATGAAAGGGATGCCATGCCACCACCAATTAAAAGCCTCTTTCTTTTCTTTAGTAAAAGAACAAGGACCAAGTCAAAAGCCCTTTTTTGGGCACAACCATAAGGAACCCCCACCCCCGCCCCTATCCCCATTTGTAGTAGTCTTAAGGCTTAACTCTCGAGAGGGGACGCAATTCTTATGGTACACATAAATGATAAAACCATGGAAACAACTGCACCCATTATATATCAGATGAGCTCAGAACAACAGTCCCCAGACAGATTCTTCAACATTGAGAATTGAGATGCTCTGTCTCTATAATTTTATTCTGTTAAAAGTTGTACTTTGTGTCTGTCCATTTCATTACTGAGACTTAGCTTGTATAGAATATAGAATTTTCTTCTGCTAGCTCCTGTTAAAGTTTTGATCTGGTCTTCTAGTAATTAAGACAGGGAAGACCAACCAACAGCCAACAGACGGGGACAAAGAAGAAGAGTCGCTAACAAAGGGCGGTCGTCACCGTCCAAGCCATTTAGCTAGAGGGGCCATGACTCGTGAGCTCTGTCTTTTTATGTTTGTTTTCTATTTTAAGTGTGCTACCTTCGGCTGCTGGACTTCCACGCTTAGCCGGCCGACACCAAACACCATCTGGACCGGATTGGATGACTTCCTATATATGAATCCAGTTACAACCGTCCGGCTTCTGTATCTTTGCTTTGTTTTTAATCCAAACGTTCACTTTTTTTTTTTTTATTTTGATTCTCCTCTTTCTTTTCTTTCAGTGGATAAGCAGATCCCAAACGTTCTGACCAAACTACTGAAATATGGATTATGGCATGCTTCATGCACAGTCCTTCTTATCAAATACATGGCTGTCAGTGTACAAGGTAATACACACTATATATATATATATATAAGTTTCAAATATTGAAGACTTTGAGTATATTGTCTATTAGGAGCATTTCTTATTTATTTGTTAAGAAGGGAAGTCATTCATTCAAGATAGAAAAACGAGCAGAGTTCATACAAGAATCATCAAAAGGAAACCGACTCTCTGAAACAAAACAAGCGAGACAACTAGACCTGGGGAAACTGAACCCAGCGGCCATCTTACTCTTATACTGTTTCTGTTGCATTTGCAGATCACTTACATCTCCCCTTGGTCATAGAAGGGGCATATAAATAAGCCTACGGAATTCAATAAAAGACATACAATAGGTGCCAAACAAAACCAAACTCTTTTACGAATTCGTATATATACATACACTATACATAGTACAAGCTACTAGACTTTTCTTTTTCTTTCTTTTTTTTTTATTTTTCTATTCTCTTTTCTTTTCGTTTTTCTTTTAAGGTGGGGCGAGGAGGTTTGTGACATGAGAGAGAGAGAGTCGAGACTCGAGAGGTTTATTTAAATAAGGTGGACTCCTCTCTGTCTCTCTATCCACCCTGAGTCCCTCTCCCTGACCTCGTTCCTCTCTTTCTCTCTCTCTCTGTTTCTCTGTCTCGCGCGCGCGCGCGCGCTCGCGTTTCCTTGTTTTGATAAACTCATAGCCAAAATTTCCCTCTTCTTCTCCTTCTTTCTTATCCTCCTTCCCTCTCTCCCTCTCTCTCTCTAAGAAAGGTTACAGGTATGTGCCGATTAACTTCCTCTACTCTCTCTCCAGAATGCAACACAGACCAAGCTTACGGTCCTTCAACCAAAGACCTGAACCACTTGTGTACTCCGTTTATCCACAAAGACCCAACAGCTCAACAACAGCAAGTAATACAACAACAGCAAAAACAAGAAGAAATCCAGAAACCCAATAAAACCCACCTGTCTCTTGCCATTGCTGAAGTCCAGTCCATTGCTAACATAGCTCTTCCCATGGTAGTTACAGGCCTATTGCTCTACTCTCGCTCTATAATCTCCATGCTCTTTCTCGGCCGCCTAGGAGATCTCGCTTTGGCTGGCGGTGCATTAGCAATCGGTTTTGCTAACATCACCGGCTACTCCATTCTTTCTGGTCTTGCTATGGGTATGGAGCCAATTTGTAGCCAGAACTTTGGCGCCCAAAGATACAAACTCCTTGGTCTCTCATTGCAGAGGACCGTACTTCTTCTTTTATTGATTTCCACCCCCATATCTCTTCTATGGATTAATATGAAGAGAATTCTAGTGTTCTGCGGCCAAAACCAAGATATTGCAACGGAAGCGCAATCTTACATTCTATATTCCCTTCCCGACCTGCTCTTACAATCACTTCTCCACCCACTACGAATCTATCTTCGAACTCAATCAATAACACTTCCCCTAACTTACTGTGCTGCTCTGTCCATTCTTCTGCACATTCCCATCAATTATCTTCTCGTTTATGTGATTAATCTAGGAATTAAAGGCGTAGCTTTAAGTGGCGTTTGGACTAATTTTAACCTGGTATTCTCTTTGATAATCTATATCTGTGTCTCCGGAGTTTACCAGAAAACCTGGGGAGGCTTTTCCTGGGACTGCTTGAAAGGCTGGAAATGTCTCTTGAATTTGGCCATTCCCAACTGCATTTCGGTCTGTCTCGAATGGTGGTGGTACGAAATCATGATTATACTGTGCGGGCTGCTAGTAAATCCCAGAGCGACAGTTGCTTCGATGGGTATTTTGATTCAAACCACCGCCTTGATTTACATCTTTCCGTCTTCTCTGAGCTTCGGCGTTTCCACAAGGGTCGGTAACGAACTGGGTGCGAACCAGCCGAATAAAGCCAGACTTGCAGCAATCGTCGGCCTTTCTTGTAGCTTCTTCTTAGGTTTCACAGCATTAATCTTTGCAGTAATCGTAAGGAGATCATGGGCCATTATGTTTACCCAAGACGCAGAGATTATAGCACTAACCTCGCTAGTCCTTCCAATAATCGGAGTGTGCGAGCTGGGGAACTGCCCGCAGACAACCGGGTGCGGGGTGCTGAGAGGAACAGCGCGGCCGAGGGTGGGCGCCAATATCAATTTAGGTTCATTTTATCTTGTCGGAATGCCGGTGGCAGTGGCTTTGGGGTTTTATGCTGGGTTCGATTTCGAAGGGCTGTGGTTCGGTCTCTTAGCTGCGCAGGGAACTTGCGCGGTGACCATGCTATTCATTTTGGGTCAAACCGATTGGAATCTTCAAGCCCAGAGAGCTCAAGAGCTAACGGGAGCTGCTCTTGTTGTTGACAGCGAAGAAAATAAGACATTGAAGAACGATGAGGTGAAGGATGATCTTCATCTGTTTATTGTTAATACAAAAAACGATCAATCACCTGTTTGATCGACCATCGACCCTCTTTTGTTTTTTGTTTTTTATTGGCAATTTTGTATACTACTAGAATTCTAACGATTGTAAATAAAGAAAAAAAAATTATGGAAATTTTGTCTTCTGTTTTGTTTGGCTCTGTATATATAATATATTCGTATAAATATTTGAAAAATGTGGTGAGATGAATCAAGTTAGTGAGTGGTGACTCTGTATTATTTGTAGTACTGTGGGTTCCAACGAAGATAAAAGCGGTCGCCATTTTGCAACTGCCGGCTGCGTAAACGACCTGGTCTCTGACTCTCTTCAGCTGGTTCCCCAATTAAAAACGAGAAAAAGGAATATATTAACAAACCCCATTAGTGTTATACGCGTAAAACCTGTAACTTAGGCATTGCTCTCTGTGTTTGTTTTTTTGGAATTCAATACTCCATCGTCGTCCATAGTGCTTTACAGAGGAGAAGCTGACTGACTTGGGGTTTGTTTTCGCGGAGGCCCATTTGTAACTTTCACTTGGACGTCGGTTAGAACTTAGAAGGCCCAAACCCAATTCGACATCTTGTTTTACTAATTTGAGTTGAGTAGTGGGTTGTTGAGTAAACATGGGCTTTGACCGAGCAACATCCCACTAATCTCAGCTTTGCAACATCCACGGTTTCGATTATAAATGTCTAAGCCAGAAGAAACAGTAGCAGTAGTGGGTCCAACTCTCACAAAAAATGCTCTGTTCAAAATTCAAATCACCAAAATATATAAAACTGAGATAGCTACGCAGATATAGCGCCATCGATCCTTTTTTTCCACTCTCTCTCTCTCTCTCTAGTTCGTAATTTTATGATCCTTCTCTGGAATCCGGCCATTCAAGAATCAAGCTGTTTGATATTATTTAAAGGGTGAGTTGCAGTTGAAGATGTCATTCGCCACACCCACCCCTTTAAAAATAAGATCAGTGAAACAAAAGCAAAGCTATATTCTTCAACAGAAGAAGGGGACGGGATGCCGCAGACTCTAGCAAATTCATTTGTATAACCAGAATTTATTAAAAGAATCTGGGGGGTGACGTGAGTGATTACAAAACTATTTATGTGTTTAGATTCTTAGCTAGCAACCATCTCCTCTAATGAATCTTTATTTCTTGATTACTTCTCTAATAGTTGACAAAAGCGTCTGAAATTAAATCATTTATGTTGTTGTTCAACCTTATAAATTTATTAAGCAAATGAAGTGTTTTTTCTTGTTTTTAATTCAAACTCAACTCAAGACTCAAGAGGAGGGAGCATATATAAAAAAGGCTTAACGTGTTCCTGAGGTGGAAGAAAGGCCAATATATATAAAATTAATGCGGCATTGCGACGCCGTCCTACTAAACTAATTATTTATAAATATACACATGCATCTCCCATATATATTCTGATATTCATACGTACAAAACTACAAATATGTCTATGTTACATACACACACAGAGAGCTACAACAGAGAGAGAAAGAGAGATCTAGTGTCTCGTCGCCGCCGTGCCGCACGGAGCTTGGTGGTCGGTCAACCCCACCGGCGGCACGCTTCCTGCGGAATGGTGAAGTGTGTTGAGGAATAGCAGTTTGCGCCGCGTCCACCCACAAATGACAAATTAATCTCAACTGCTCTTGCTTCCATTTGCCAGTAAGATAGAAAAAAGAATGTAAGGCGGTTCGTGAGTTTTAAGTTTTTAAGTTGGATTGATAGGATGGGCGATGCTTTCCGCCTCTCCTCACTGGCCACTGTCTACTGGCCGGGCTGGTGATTCACATGTACGCTCCCATTTTTCTACTTTGATTTATATTGATTGCTGGATGTTGGGTGTTGGGTGTTGGGTGTTGGTGAATAGATTCCACACTTAACCCAAGATTCTACGTAAGATTGCTAGCTTCCATTCAATTTCTTGATCTCTCAATGAGGTTCAGCTTCATCACCATTACTACAATGCGTACGTCATACAGAGGAAGGGAGATGGTGAGGATTAATACAACACACAAGCACAGCACATTTCTAGTAGAGAGAATTAATTTGGCTTAAAAAACATGTAGCACAGTAGTCAAATCAGATCATACATACAACACGAAAGCAAAATGAATGAGGCAAATACGATGACTGAGGAGAGGAGAGATACTATTATACCAACTACACCTAGCTATTTAATCTTTTTGCTTGATACAGTATCCAGAGAGCTTAATTTAATTAAACGGGTTGGCTTCAAATATTTATATATGTTGAGGGACAAAAACATAAATTAATAGAATAAAATAAACAAGGTTCTAAAATCTAAAGGGGAGTTTTGCTAACAATATTATTAATGGTTTCAACGCTAAGCATGGCAGAACTCCATCTACTTGCCGCTTCCAAAACAAACTTTCATCATGTTCTGAATTCTGATCTTACATCTTATTGGTGTGAAATACAATATTGTTCAGTTGTTTTTGTATTTGTTTAATTTTGTATTGTTAGTACGTACCCATCACTGCTGGACGCTACATCTTCAATTTATTGCTTCAAGAGATAGCGATACAAAAGGATTCCATCTTCGTCGACTTTTGTATGCTTGAATCCCCTGTTTGCTTAATTAGCTTCATAAGAATAACAACAAACGCTTAATATACATACATTAAAATAATTTCATATCGCATTTATCCAATTAGATATGCACTCTACTCCCTTAAAAAAAAAAACAAAATTGACAATACAATCAAATAAAAAAAAATGAAAATTGAAGGCCTTTGAGATTAACTATAGGCCACCTTTGAACTATGAACTGTATTACGTCCCCCTACATCATTATTATTATGTTCCTTGATCGGACCCATTAATTATTTTTAAAAGTAGAATACGGTTCACCATGTCAACTCTCATCATTTCCCCTTCAGATACATAACAAAAATTATAATAACCGAATGTGAGCTATGAAGAAATGAAGGGTCCGTTTGATTTGTGATTGGAATCAGAATCAGAATCATAATCGAAATTTAAATTGGAATAGTTTATTCCTCTTGCCTGTTTAGTTCAGATGAGAATCGGAATCGGATTCCATAACATATGTACGATTCTAAAAAACAGTTGACATAATAGGGTTTGTGGGCTTTTTGAGTAACTGATCTGATCTGTATCAAAAATAATGAATATTGAAATCCCATTCTATCCTACCAATTACCAAATGATTAAAATCGAAATAAGCCATTTTAATTAATTCCCATTCCTAACCGGCCACTATTCTTGCAAACCAAACGGACCCAAAGAGTTGGAGATACCACGGTCTTGTAGATTCTAGAGTCTAAAATCCATTGACCATGGCACATGGCCAACTAACCAAACAATGAAGACTATTGGCCGTCTGGGGGGGATGTGGGTAGTAAGTTATCATTAATTTATAAGCCAAAACAATACAAGTAATAGTATGAAGCCTTCATCCTTGCAGTTGGAATTGCTATTAATTGGATGGAGAAAGAATGTGACGAGGATTCTCTATGACTCAACCTAAAAGTCAAATGTCAACTTCAATTCCCATCTGGTCCAGTTCGCCTTTGGATCACCAAACACGTCATACACCATGAACAGAGAGAGGGAGAGGATCACAGTTCAGCGGACCTGAATCTAATTTGTTTAATAGTTAGTTTGTATTGGGATCCGAATCTAATACCACCAAGTATATAATTAATACCCTAAACAGCAGTACATTGTATCTGATGAAACTTCACCAAATTAATCCAAAAACTCTCCTTAATTCGTTTGGGATATGATGTGCTCGGGAATTGGAATCAATGCAGAAGTTTGGACATACAGTCAGATTTAAAAATTAAAAAAAAAAAAAAAGCTAAATTCTGGCTCTGGCAATACCCATTTATCGCCCCCCAGATACCTGTGTTTTTTTTTCAAAGTTAAGTCATCAGATACTAGCGAAATTAAATACTCTACATAGTTGGCGGAGCGCATGAATGTTAACATCAGAAATGTAGGTATAAGCACTATAACTTTCATTGTTCTTTAGTCCAATTTAGGGATTTCTCTCTAGCTGATCGAAGCTTCTTTTTTTTTTAGTGGGTCTTTGGTTGAATCCAATTTAGAGGAAATTTATATTAGTTTGCTTATGAAAGGACACAGTCAGTCAGATCCTGAAAGGTCCAACATAGAAGAAACCCATCTAGAAAACTTGAACCAGAATGGAAAACGTTGATAATATACATAAAGAATAAAGAAATTAAAGAAGAGAAGGATTACTTACTTGTGCGTTTTCGGAATTTAAGAAGAGAATTGCGTGGAGTCCACATGAATAAATGAATGTCAAGGTTGTTACGTCTGTTAATTAATTGGAGATGCAATTCATTGGCTCGAATGAGAAGCCAACGATATGATATCAAATGACAAGCCCGTCTCGCTGTCATCCCTCCAGAAAATCGATAGAATGTTTCATTGAAGAACAATTAGTCTTAATTAGCAATGGAAAATAATGCTTCTCTCTAATTAACCATTCAATTTCCTCTGTTTTCTTTTTTTTTTTTTTTATTCAAACACCAAGAAGCAAACACTAACATTGCACAGATGACAGATTCGTGTTGATACTTTGATATGAACAGAAAAAGCAAGAGTGAAGTAATAGGGATGTGACATGCATGGTCATCAATCAGAATGGGAAAACGAAAGGGGTATTGTTGTCAATTGCCATGGCATTATGTGTATGATTCCCAGAATTCCACGCCCACCAGATTTAAAAATACAGAGAAAAGAAAATTGCTTGGTTCATTCATGGCCGCATAGGCATTGTTAAAGGGGTAACTGACCTGCTGCTAAATAAAAGATGAGAAAGTGGATTCAGTCTCATCTTTGGGCGGGCGCGTGGTGGTGCTGCTGCAGAAAAAATCAACTTCAGAAGAGAGAAGAGTGGTGGTGGGGCAGGGCATGGATTGAGAAATGAGAGAAAGAAATGGAAAAATCTGGAAGGAGAAAACAGCTAGCTAGCAGGGTGATGTGAGTTTAATCCTATCCAAAATCTCTGGTATTGTACTGGTGATTGCTGGCTTTGGCTTCTCTTCTTGTGTTTGTATTTTGGTTGGAATACAGGTAGGCATACCTAAATAAATAATGGAGAGT